AAGAAAATCCTCCCACCACTTTCATAATAATCAAGGCACTAAATGTACAGAACAAAGAAAGAATATTAAAAACTACAAGGGAAAAAGGCCAAGAAACATATAAAGGCAGACCTGTCAGAATTACATCTGACTTCTCAACAGAGACTCCAAAAACTGTAAGATTCTGGACAGATGTCTTGAAGATCCTAAGAGAGCATAGATGCCAGCTCGGACTACTATACCCAGCAAAACTTTTAACCACCATAGATGGAGAAACCAAAATACTCTATGACAAAATCAAATTTAAACAACATCTTTCTACTAATCCAGCCCTACAGAGGATACTAGAAGGAAAACTCCAACATAAGGAGGATAACTACATCCAACAAAACACAGGAAATTAATCATCTCACAGAAAAACCAAAGAAGAGAATCACACACTCACGCAGAACCACCACCATCATCAAAATAACAGTAACTAACAATCACTGCTCATTAATATTTCCAAACATTAATGGACTCAATTCACCAGTAAAAAGACACAGGCTAACAGATCAGATACATAAACAGGATCCATCATTCTGAGGCATACAAGAAACACATCTCAACAACAAAGATAGATAATACCTCAGTGTACAGGGATAGATAAAGGTCTTCCAAGCAAGTAGACTCAAGAAACAAGCTGGAGTAGATATTCTAATATCTAAAACAACAACAACAACAACAACAACAACAACAACAACAACCCAAATAGACTTTCAACTGAAAAAAATCAAAAGAGATAGGGAAGGGCACTTTATACTCATCAAAGAAAAAATCCATCAAGATAATGTCTCAATTCTGAATATCTAGTTTTCTTTGAGAAAATCAACAAGATAGACAAATCCTTAGCCAAACTAACTAAAAGGCACAAAGACAGTATCCAAATTAACAAAACCAGAAATGATAGGGGAGGTATAACAGAAACTGAAGAAATTAAAAAAAAATCATTAGAACTTACTACAAAAGCCTATACTCTACAAAACTAGAAAATCTAAATGAAATGGCTGATTTTTCTAGACAGATACTACTTATCAAAGTTCAATCAGGATCTAGACAGTCCTATAACCCCTAAGAAAATGGAAGCAATCATTAAGTCTCTCAACCAAAGAGAGAGAGAGAGAGAGAGAGAGAGAGAGAGAGAGAGAGAGAGAGA